TGCAGATGGCCTCGTGCGCAGGCAGTTGCAGCCACGATGCCTCCGCGGGNGGGGGGTCTTGAAGCTCCTCAGCAAGGTGCCACGTGGCACTGCAGATGGCCTCGTGCGCAGGCAGTTGCAGCCACGATGCCTCCGCGGGGGGGTGGGGGAGGGGGCAAATAGCAGCCCGCCCGCTGCTCGCCGACCGGGGAGAGAAGCCAGGGGGGTCTTGAAGCTCCTCAGCAAGGTGCCACGTGGCACTGCAGATGGCCTCGTGCGCAGGCAGTAGCAGCCACGATGCCTCCGCGGGGGGGTGGGGGAGGGGGCAAATAGCAGCCCGCCCGCTGCTCGCCGACCGGGGAGAGGGGGAGGGGGGAAGGGTAAATAGCTCATGTGGAACTGATCAACATGAACCTTCCGCACTACAGAACTATGGACATGGTTTGGCCAGTGTGTTACAGTACAAGCCACGCACGTACATGGTTGGTAGCTGCCCAGGTTTAAACCTTGGCAGCAGCAGGCATCCCAGATCTTAATAAAGATAATAATGTGGGGGGGTGGGGGAGCCCATGCGTGTGTGTGTGCGGCGGTCTTCGCGTTGTGGCTGCACTCTCCTCTTTTCTTGCCACCTGTCGCTCTCTTGCTGCTGCACGTTTCTACGCTTTTTCCCGTTGTTTTCCTCTGAAAACGCCCAGAAAACAGGTGAAAACCTGCTGTCGGGTTTTACACCGTACGTCGGACTGTGGTGGGTGGGAGCGGGGAACGTGCCCGCTCTAATACCAGTGTGACGGACCCGCCGGGATGGCAGTCCGTCAGGATCAAGACGAAGGGTTGAAGGGCGAGGAGATGGAGATGGAGTTGGAAGGGACAGCGCAGCTCCGACGTGGACTCAACAAGCACATACTCCAATGTGCAGAACGAAGAATGAGCACAAAACAGACTGCATCTGGGGTATACCCCCAGCTGACTGACTGGACTGGACTGGACTGGCCTGATACCGACAGTGGTACCAGGCAGGACTGGACTGGACTAAAACAGCACACGGCCTGTGGGGTCAGGCCACGGCCTGGTCCCACAGGCCGAACAGGCAAATAGCCCGGTAGGCCCTGGCTGTAGACCAGGGCAGATAGAGGCCCGCTGCATACAGCCATATCCTGTCAAAAAAGTACGAGTGTGAGTATGACATGGTGACAGAGAGCCAACACATACCTCAAACTCCCTGCACTTGGCGCATGGCTCTAGGGCATAATCATCCTCATTGAAGTTAACAAACGTTATCCTTGACAAAGTCAGCTCGTCAGACATGACCGGGGTGGTCACACCACGCAGTGGCCTGTTGCCTGGCCATGGAAGATCGCTTGTGAACGAACGGCCCACCACAACAACATTCGAAACGAATGCTGGTCGGGTCATAGTTCTCGAGATGCCCCTGCAAATCAAACACATACATGCATATGAGATGAGGAAGCTCAAGGTGAAGGGACCAGAATATGCTGACATACCAGCCTAATAATATCTGCACCACCACTCAAACTTACATGTAAGCACTATCTTTTCTTGTTTTCACAGTTAATATTACATACTGGCACATAAACCACGTGTATGACTCCCAGCCATACATGCAAGCAGACGGCGTGCGGAAAATTCAGCACGTTTGGCACACGAGCGGGACCCGCACGGTGCGGCGCACGGGGGAAATATTCACTAAAGAAAAAAAAAGGGTCGCATCGCTGGGTCAATGGTCACATGCGTCCCCTTTAAAGGTTGGTTGTGGGATGTGGAAAAAAAAAAACTCGCGGGAGGGTAATCCCCGTAGAAAAGGAAAAAAACAAGTATTAAAATCATAAAAAACATAATAAAAAAGCCAACTTTTTTTTTCCATTTTTTTCTGATTGCTGGTGGGATAATCATGGTGCACATGTTTTTTTTTTTTCCTTTTTTTTTTTCCGTTTTTGATAGACACACATACTGATTGATTGATTGATTGATTGATTGATTGACTGTGATTGATTGATTGATTGATTGATTGGTCAGGAAAACTGTGCGTGCGCGGGTGTGTGTGTGTGTGTGTCAGTGTGTGTGTGTGTGTGCGTGTATGTGTGTGCGCGTGTGTGTGTCTGTGTGTGTGGGTGTG